GGTATATGAACAAGATTCTTTCTAGGTTCAGCAGTTATAATCCCAAATGGACTGAAATGCACGGCAGGCACTCTTGATAGAGGTAATAACATAATCTCTGCGGATGGTTTTACATTGAAGCAGCTGCCAGATGACCTGAATAGTTTTTATCTGATAGTTAATACTCTTCCAGTGTTAATCAATCCTACTCTTTTTTTCCTCTGAGACTGTAATATGTGTGATCTTTTCAGGTCTGCTGCTACAAATAGCTGCCTTAAATGTAAAGTGCTGTAATGTTTTATTACGTACATTGCAATTTTGTCCCACTTCCAAACTCTAATGGCCCAAAAACTCTAAATCACATCAGGCTAGACCAGCAGCGCTAACTTTGCTGGTGGTGATGAAACTGATCACGTTCATAAAAGTATTACAAGGAGCCACTGAAGGTCCAACATTTACTTTATCATTTTTTATATGCCCCACTGCCTGCATAACTAGTTTTCCAGCCTTATGTGTTTGCTGAAACTGAGGTTTGCTGTTGGATTCAGGTCTTATTGGTTATTTTAAATGGTGGATGCCTTATAGGATATAGGATTTCAAGTTGAACTTCTTTCAAACTCTCAACCATATACTGTCTCAATGCAAAAGCAGTGCAGTCTGCACAGTCAATGTAGCCCTGCAGGACCTTCCATTCCATAACTGCTTATCCTCTTGAGGGTCCCAGGGGTGCTGGAGTCTATCCCAGCTGACATTGGGCAAGAGGCAGGATACACCCTGGACAGGTCACCTGACTATTGCAGGGCTAACACATAGAGACAGACAACCATTCACACGCACATTCACACCTACGGACAACTTAGAATCACCAGTTAACCTGCATGTCTCTGGACTGTGAGAGAAAGCCGGAGTACCCAGAGATATCCCACGCTAACACGGGGAGAACATGCAGGCTCTGCGCAGAAGGGATCCCTCCTGGGTTTGAACCAGGAACCCTCTTGCTGTGAGGCGACAGTGCTAACCACTGCACCCTGCAGGACCTGACATGTCTATATTTTCCTCCTCTGTTGTGATGGAAGCAGCCCTGAGATTATACTTAATTCATCCTCAAAAATTTTAGATATTATTCAGTCTTTTTTTGTTTTGTTTTGTTTTGTTTTTAATGAAAAGCTGTCTTCTTTTATGCTACCACTAGTAGGTGCCAAGTCAGATATTTTTTATGTTTTACCATAGTGGCTTTAATCATAATAAATATCTCCTGAACCATTTCATGATCACTGAATTGACCAGTGACAAACCAGCTTCAGTCATTCTGCATCTGAAAACTTAATAAAACATGTGCATTCTCACTGATAGGCTACATGTTTGTGGTTCTACAGTCTTTATACGACGACCTGAATAAAGCTCAGCTGTGCTTTTGTTTTGTTTTTACATGATGTTTGTGTAGATGAATTCCACTGCGAAGTTTTTGGAAACAATTTTAATGTGCAAAGAAGTTATGATCTTTTTAATTGCAGATTATATATATGATTTCAATTTGCTGTACTCAAGATTCTCTGTGCACTGACATTAATCGTAGTAAATGGCAAATAGTTTCCCGTTCAGTGCATTAACAAAGGCCACAGCCTGAAGTGTTTCTAACTGTCTGCGCTCTTCATTAAATTCTTTAAAGTGCATACAGCTTACTGTATACAGTCATCATTAGGACTATAAAGCTTCTGAAACTACTTAGTGTTTACAGATTCATGGTGCCCAAAATGAATGCAAGGCATGCCAGAGACTCTGTGTTTTAATGTAATGAGCGCTGGCTCTTAGCTGTTGGCTCCTCACACTGCAGCACATCACTTGGACTGGATCTTATGCTTATGCTTTTAAAAGATCAATGTGACAGGAGCAACTCTGAGTTATCTGTCGGTGCCTTTTGGAGTTTTTATTTATCAATGGTGGTGACTTTATTTTGGCCTTGATTGGTTATTTATATGAGTTATATTTTGGTTTCATTGTCCTATTTGTGGGAGGTTTTAAATATATTTTGTTTTATGTGCTTTTTTAAATATTTTTAGCTGTGGCTGCAAACAAAATTTCCCTTTGGGACAATCAAGTTGAAGTTGAAGTTGGGGGCTCCAGACAGATGGGCATCAGAGAGACAAGAGGGAAGTTTTTTTAAAAAGACCAACAGAGACAAGTGGAGTGAAAGAAAAGATGAGAACAAGTCCAACTGGGAGATGAGATCAGACTCATCCAAGCAAACCCAACTCTCACACAGAGGGAGGGCAGTTTTCTCCAGCCTCTTATCAGCTCATCCTATTATAGTTCCCCCACATTAGGGGGATAAAGCAGCGCTCTACAGCACTTAGTCCGACTGTGTAGAGCTGAATTAGTTTAGGTGGGAGCGGAAGACAGAGGCACCTACTGCTGTACATCCAAACTGCCTTCACACAATTACAGCCAACCTTAATAATGATGCTTGAACCAAAAGATGGGATAAAATCAATAAAAGCTGAAATCCATATTTTTCAGCCATGCTAGTGTAGTGGCTCAGTGGATCATAATATGTCACTATGTCTGACAGTCGGTCCAACATTTTAGTCTAGACTGAAATAAGTGTGTGGATTACTTTGAACAGACACTGGTGGACCACAAATGATGAATCCTAATGACTTTGGTTAACCCCTGACATTTCCTCTGTTTTTCACCTCAGATAAAGAGCAGCACACAGCCGCTTCCCTAAACTACAGTCCCAAACAGGGTTCTGTGTCTGTCACACAATCTGAATGGCATACAATCATGTCAGCAGAGCAACGTAAAACAAGTAGATTTATTCCTGAAACATGATTTTATTCTCCAGTCTCAACAACACAGATACGTGGAATATGTTTTGGATGTGCAAACAGTTTTGAACATGAGCAGAAATCTTGCAGAAACACATATGAGATCTTCGATCCCAGCTGACACTGGGTGAGAGGCGGGATACACCCTGGACAAGTCGCCAGACTATCACAGGGCTGACACATAGAGACAGACCATTCACACACACATTCACACCCATATGGGCAATTTAGAGTCACCAATTAACCTGCATGTCTTTGGACTGTAGGAGGAAGCTGGAGTACCCAGAGAAAACCCATGCTGACATGGGGAGAACATGCAAACTCTGCACAGGGGGGGCTCCCCCATGTCGGGGTTTGAGCCCGGGGTAGGGAGAGCCTCTCTGTGCGGACCCTCTTACTGTGGGGTGACAATGCTAACCACTGCAGCACTGTGCTGCCCTAATAGTAATATAAATTAATTCATTTATTATTGATGTAAAAAGGTGATATTTGCATATTAATGAAGCAGTGTGTAAGATTGATTGCAGATTGCAACCAGCTGAAACTTCTCCCATGTTCAGGAGGTTTTTACCAGAGCTGAGTTATCCATAGAGATCTCTCGGAAAAAAAAAGGACAGGTGATTAAAACCAATAAAAAAAAAACACTGAATAAAACAGTTTCACATTAAGAATCAGCTCATCATGGACGGGTTGCTAACCATGGTGGCAGATGTGAAAATGCAACTGGCCTTATCCAGAGCCAGTGTTTGGTTTGTCCGTTCTGGGCTACTGTGTATGGCGGTGCAACATGGCAGACTCTGTACACAAGGACCTGCTCCCTATGTAGACATAAACAGCTCATTCTAAGGTAACAAAAACACTACAATTTCTATTTTCAGGCGATTATACACAAAAGAAAACACACATATTATATTCCATTTCTGCCAATGTATCCGCTTAAATGGACCTTTAAGTTTTCCTAACAAACACAATGAGGAGGGGAGACTAAATCATACCAACATGTGGTGACACAGCAGGGATAGCATTCAATGACAAAAGTTGATCTACAAGAGAATACATATTTGAAAGCCATACAGAATGCCTGTAAGCCTTACTGCATTATATTCCATAATATCTTATATCTTTAACTGGCACCTTTATTTTTTGTTTTCATTTCCCTTTTCATAAAAATTCACCAGAATGCAGGAAATGAAGTAATTAAAGCTCAAAATTTCAGAGGGAAGTACCCCTTAACACCCCCCATGATTATCTCAAAGTACTGAAAGCAATCAGATAATCAAGTTCAAAACAGGCAGCGCAGCCCCTCTGTATTTTAATTGTGCACACAGGGATGACGAAGCTCGAGCAGTAATCTCAAACTGGAACTCGCCTTGCTATAATGCACGTGATTAGCATAAAGCTGTACTTAAAGGTCAACTAATTCACAGGCCTCTGTAATGCAGATTATGACATTAAAGTATGTAGCACTAAGGAAGTGAGACATGCATAATGATTAGAAGACCTCACCTTCGGTACGGGTCAAGCACTTCAGTGAGGGTCTCCGCTAAAGTGTCCTCAAGCAACACGACCTTCATCCAGCTCCGGGGCCACTGACATGTTTCTGACCTTGTGCTCAGGATGTGCACCATAAACAATAATTAAATAAAATGGCTATGGCAAGATGATAATTACAGATAAATGGCCCCCTCTTGTGGTAATTATGTAGTAATGCAGTAGTTCATCAGACCCTGACATACTGCTCTTATCACCCACTAAAACAGAGATCTGATGACGATCATAGATTCTTTTCCTTGAATAAAAGATAAACTAAAACAGTGATTCTAAAGAGACTTTGATGTGGAGATGAGATCGATGAGAAGACAGGATTATGTTTGAAATCAATCTCACACTTAGTGGTGAAAGGAGAGATAAACCTTCCCCGCTGCCACACACTTGATAAAAACAGGGATACAATGCAGAATTTACTCGATATACACCTGCTGTTCTTCAAATCTGTGCATGGGACTTAGTTAGAAGGGTTCTTTAATCATTACAAGTACACAAGATGTAAAAGACAAGAAAAATAAGTGATCCATCCGGTCACTTATGTTGTTGTCTCCATGTTTCAATTAAGCATCTCTGTGATTTTCTTAATCACGCCAAGGCACTACTCATGCAAAACCACTTGAAAGAAAAGCTGCGACAAAATTTCCAGCAGTATCGGCCTTTTAATAACAACAATAAAAACAGTCCAGAAACAGTTGTGGTTTTAGCCAAAGCAAGCATGTACAGTAGTAGGCCAGTAGAAGTACAATAAAATCTGTAAATACATATAAGTGAATATAACAACAAAATCTAGGTTGGACAGAAGATTTATTCAAAATAGCTGAGGTCCACTTGTTTCTCTGTAACTACGACTTCCTGCACCTTTGTTAATGCGTCCATGTGAAGCAGGAGGGCCCCGGCACTATAAAGTCAACGAGGAGAAAGAGCTTGGCCAAAGTCCAAAAAAAAAAAAAAAAAAAAAATCGGTGGTCCTCACATCAGCAGCTAGCTGTACAGCCGAACATGAAATTCACTCACCAGCATGAGAAACTGTTTCCAACTCAAATCAATGGATTCAGATGTAAAGTCAAACGATGGCTTTCAGCTGAAAAGGCAGGAAAATGCTTGTGCAAAACATATCGTAAGAATGTGATCACAGCAAAACAAACAAACAAAAGAAATGTGGTTGAAAAACTGGAATTTTAGTAAGAAATTATTTGGAGTAATGTGTCAATAACCTGATACTTTAAACCAAAAAACGAACAAGAAAATTATATCCCTGTTTCAAGCCACAGCCAACATGTGCCATCAGCCTGTACGGTGCTGAGTCTCCACTCTACGAGGCAGCCAGGAAGAATACATGATCAGTACATTCAGTTGATATTCTAGACTCTTCATTGAATAGGCCTCTAACCGTGCAAATATCTGTAGTCCAGGAGAAGGAAACCAACTCAAACCTTCAAGTTTTAAGTGAACAGTTGGTCCACTGAATCGAAACATCCTAACTTTAATAAACATGTTAGAAAACAAGCATATAACTGTAAGCATGAAACTGCTGCAAAAGTCCAGCATGAAATGCATAAAGTGATGCTAAAACATCTTAAAATGTCATTCTGGGTAAAATGGCCATCTGGGAGGTAAGGCCACGCCATTTGGGATGGGAGGTCCATCCCATTGGTCCAGGCTGGTCCAACACCTGCGTCCTTAGTCCAAGTCAGAGCTCCCTTGTGTCCTTGACGGACCATTTGGTTGAAATCCACTGGGAAATGTAAATGTAGAATGCAAAAACAACCTGATGGGTACGGGTCCAGCATTTCTGTGGGTCAGTAGGGGGCCACATCAGTAGTTCTTTGCAAGTAAAAATCTGCTTAGCTACAGACTGTTATTGAACTCCAAAAGTAACCAAAAGTCCAGTAACCAAAAGTGAGCAGCCACTGTGTTGTTTGGGCTTCCTGGAATACCAATGGCCAGGTTGTGTTAGCTTATGTACCGGGCTGTCAGTGACACAGGCCGCCTGACAGGCTTGGACAGACTGTCTCATGTAACCAGGTGAGCAGTCAGTGAGTGAAAGGAACCATTATACAGTCATTCAGTCGTTGAGGCGACAGTCGCACAGCTCCTTGTGGATTCTCTTGCGGATGCGAGGCATGTCCTCTTGACTGAACAGCAGGGGCTGCTTCACAGAGAGACAGCGGCAGTACTGACAGACCAAGACAGAAAGAAAAGACAGTGAGGAAAATGATTCACAACTGCAGCTAGGTTGCCATATAAAACACGGACATTGACAGAAGCTTCTCTCCAGCGTCTTTCGCTACCTTGGAGACTGAGTAATAATCACATTTGTGTAGAATCCTGGGGCAGGAAAGACACACTGGAGACACAGCTGTACTTTATTTCTTTTTCTGAGACATATAAAGCAAAGAGAGGGGGCAGACAGGGACAGGAGACGAGGAAAAGGAATAAAGGAAAGGGTGATGAACAAAGGACAGCGGTGTAGAGGGGAAAGAAAAATGTCTCACCTCGAGGACAAAAACTCCACAGTCGCTGTCATTTTTCTGCTGAGGAATACCCTGAGGAGTCAACAAGTCACAGTCACACAGGGGACAAAAGCTGTCATAGTTACAGCATCTGGACTGAGATGTCTCTTTATGTATGTATTAACCATACATTCATACAACTAAATTATATGTTGGACTTTGCAATGAAAGAAAGAGTTTCTAGGAAAAAGAATAAGAGCAGTAACCTGATTACTGTTATGAGTTTATATGGTAACCAGACATAACTCCTGAGTCCAACAACGGCAATAAGGACAACAAGTTCACTCATTTGTATTAATAAACAGTGATTTCCGTGTCCTGCAGCTATGTTACAATTATTTGGGCACCTTTAACAGATATTTTAGTTGTGGAATTTACATTATAGGTGAGCTCAACATAAGCATAAAGGGTTACCTTGATGATGGTGATCTTCCAGCCTTTCAGGAAAGCTGTCTGTTGCTTCTCTCTGGCTTCAGACTGAAGGTACTTCATAATGTTCTGACAGGGAAACACACACACACACACACACACACACACACACACACACACACACACAGGACAGCGTTATACTACAGAGGAAATAGTGCCAAGGACTAGCATTATCCCAGCAGCACAAATTTCCACATTTCTACTGTGACACATGATGAATACATTTATCAAACAGTTTCAGCACATTTTAATTTTAATTGAGTGTTGGAATAGTTATAAGGAAGAGAAAGTGGAGGGTAAGGACAGCTGAAGGAGACACTCCTCAGTCTATGAAGCAGATGGTGAGAATATGAGCTAAATTTAAACATGACATGTCTGGTTTGGTGTCAGACTGTTCACCATATCTTTAACTACATGCCAGCCTACCCACACTGATGGACTGCATGATGGTTTCTGCTTGTTAGGGGGTCGGACTGTAAGGGATGGTATCCAATCTGGTTGATAGTTTCATCCTTTCATTTCACAAAAACTTTCCCATAATAAATACTGATGAAATTTCAGTTTGTACAGCTGTCACATATGCTACATATAAGCAAGTATGCAGACAATTAATGATTATCAAACCAAGGTTATTATGGAAAACAAAACTAAATTTGGAATAAGAACATTTGTGTTAAGTGAAATAAAAATAAAAACTAGACTTTAGGGAAAAACAAAAACTTTCTGAATTAATATTGGGTACTTACAAAACTAAATAAAACAAAGCAAATTAAAACAAAACAAAATACAATAGAATTAAATTAAATACAGAAAATGCATAGACTGTATGAGATGTTTTTAGCATAGTAGTATTAGTATTAGGACTAAAGTCAAAGCTGTTTTGCAACATTTGTGTTCAAGTAATTTTGACGAAACACAACAAGCTGGCCAGAGATTTGTCTTTCAAGCATTAATCCACAAATTAATGTTTTAAAGTATCAATTATCAAATCTAAACAATTAAAGTTTGTTCTGCTTCATTACAGCGATGTGATGAAAAATCTGAATTTCTAGAAAAATTGCTGCAACTTCTGACTATCTGCTATTACTGACATCAAATTGTGAAAACTTTTTATCTCATCTCATGTAGCCTCTTTCCAGGAATAAATGGTTCAATAATGTATCAGAGCAGAGAGCTGGACTGCTTGTTTGTTCTGCAGAGATTCGAAATCACCAAAAAAAAATCTGAAACAATGAGGTACGACCCCAAAGACATCAACATGCACGGAGGCACTCACATCTGTGGTGTGTCTGAAGACGATGCCTTGGCTGTCATAGTAACTGATGGTTTTGGTTGCCATGGTGACCGTGATGAGAGACCAGTGGATTTCTAAATGTATGGGAAATAGCAGCAGCCACTTGGAGAACAGGTCAACCTGAAATAATCCCACAAATGAACACAGACACAAATTAGATATCTGGGATACTAAACGTTGCAGGTGTCTATTACGGTCAGATTATCAGACAATACCTGGTTTATATGTGACCTACAGGACAAACAGGTTTTTCAGCATTTCTCTTTGACACCAGATAACTTTCCGACCTCATTTACTGGCACGGCTGAACAGCAAGGTGGTTGGAAACGGTGATTTCAAAAATGACTGATCATATTTCATGGCATACTTTTACTTTATGTTGTTCGCTAACTAAATGTGAACTGTGGTTGCCAACAGTGGCAACCAGACCACCGTAAAAAAGGGCTGACATTGAAATCTAGTGTCCTGCAGCACCTGAGAAACAGCTGCTGTCAAGCCTCGAGTCAGAGAGGCAAATTAAAAACCAGAAATAAAACAGTGACATTAAAGTTCAGCTATTAGCAATGCTGTCAAAACAACTGAGAAATGCTAAAACTCCAAACCATGTCATCTTTCTACTTACTTTCTTAGTCCATCTCTTTACGCCTTCGTAACCCTTGGCAACCAGCTGCTTGTGGAAAAAGCTGTTGAAGAAATGAACCTGAGAGAGAAATAAAAACAATGCATTACACAGTCAAAATTTAATTTATTATTTAGTAAATAAAACATGTCTAAGATTCTTAAATCAATTCTTCAATTTCTTAACTCCTACAGTGACCCTTTTTATATTTAATAAATCCTATTATATAGCCTCTTTTCTTATGTTAAGCATACAACCACCATCATATACCTTGTGTTGTGTTGCCTCCATGATGAGCTCTCCATACATGTTGATAATCTAAACAGACAATAGAACAAAGTTCCAGTATTAGAGTATTCAAACAACTTCGACTTTTTGCTCTTCTGGCTGCTCAACCCTTTGTCCTTTTTTACCTGGTCATTAAGCCAGTTCTGCTCCTCCAGCGTACCCAGGTCCTCCAGGCTCAGAGTGTGTTTGTTATATGTCACCATGAAGCCCGCGACAGGAGCAGAGGCCAGTGCCGCCCTGTACCGAGTCATCTCCCCTTTGATGTCCAGTCCCCTAAAACAACAAGCGGAGAAATGCAGTAGAAATTTTAGACAAACCTCTGAAGTGTTTATTGTACTGGCAAGGACATTACAAAGAACACGACTCAGATAAGAGATGCCACAAGGTCAGAGATAAAAAATAACAATCCAAACTAGAACTGCAAGCAGTTATGAACGGGGGCCAAGCCCCCCCAGTGCGACTCGGTCCCGCGTCCCACGGAGCCCATGGAAGTTGTCCCCGAAGGACGACGGGCTCTGGGCGAGCGCAGGTTTATGAATATGTCATTTAAAATGCGGAAGTTACAGGCAAAACTGCCTTTGCATCGGTTATAGCGCCACCTATAGACCGATTTGCAACGAATTTGGCACAAAGCCTCTGGATGACCTCGGGAATGAGTGACTTAAGTTTGATGTTGAAAGCATCTACTTTGAGCGAAATATGAAACAATGTGTGTTTTTTAGCTAGCAAAAAAGATTGGTTGGTTGTAACAAGCGCATTTTTGGAGTGCCAAAATTCTTTTGATAACTTTTCATCTGACACATCTGGAGATTCTATGTGCAAAGTTTCAGGCAGGTGGCACTTAAAATGTAGGAGGAATTCGAAAAAGTAGGTTTTGGACATGTGGCGAATTAGCAAAGAGAATGTGCAGCAGAAGTGGGCGGGGCCTGTGTCAGAAAACCCAGCTCTATCCAGGGAACACATGGATATAATGTTTGTGATAGTGTCATTTAAAATGTGTAAGTTGCAAGCAAAAACGCGTTTGCATCCGTTATAGTGCCACCTAGTGGAGTACATGTGCAATTTTCGGTACGGAAGATCTGTGTCCTATTGTATATGTACCCTTAAAATTTCAAAGCCCTCAGCATAATAGTTTGGCTGAAATTAATGTTTATTGTTTATCTTGTAATAAGCCACGCCCACACTGACCAGTCATGACCACCTTCAAGACATGACCTCAGAATTGGCCCTACATCATACCAACCGAATTTCGTAGAAATTGGTGCAGCCGTTCAAGAGATATAAACTTACCACATTTGTAGCGCCCCCTAGTTGCCAAAATTTGCCAAATTCGGCTAATACCCTCACAGTCTTATGCCAACCAATGATCTCAAAATTGGTGTTAATAGCATTTAGTTTGACCAAGATATCCAACAGTTTGCATTTTTATAGCTAGCTATAGAAGTTTGTTTGTTAATAATTTGCGCATTTTTTGACCGAATAAAATTCTTTTGATAACTTTAGATCAGGTCCAGTAGAAGAGTGTATATGTCAAGTTTCACGCAGATTGGACAAAATCCCAAGGAGAAGTTCGAAAAAGTAGGTTTTCCAGTTTTTTGCGATTTTGCAAAAAAACTTCCTAGGCACAAGTGGGCGTGGCCTATGGCAAAGTAATTCAGCTCTATTCAGGGAAGCTGGGGATACAAGATTTTTGAATGTGCGACATACGGTGTGGGAGCTATAGGCAAAAATGCATTGGCCTAGGTTATAGCGCCTCCTGCAGGCAGATATACACAGTTTTTTGCGTCTGAGGTACGTGCAGGGGTCTGGACCACCCCTCCAAATTGCAACGCCCTCCCTTGCACGGTTTAGCCTGCAGCACCACTTTTACCTACGGAAGAATAAAAATAAAAATCTTTACAAAAACAATAGGGTTCCTAGCACCGCTGGTCCTAGGAAACGCGTCTGCTTGCATACGCGTTTCCTCGGCCCCTCGGGCTTGGCCCCCTAATAAAGGAAGATCGGAGTTTTTAATGGAAAATAAACAGCTAGAGTGTGATGTTTATTCAGGCGGCCCTGCTTCCACACAGATTCTTCTGGTCGCTGTTTTAACATTAGAATGATCTGACGACTGCCCTTTGACATACAGTACAGGCCAAAAGTTTGGACACACCTTCTCATTCAATGCGTTTTCTTTATTTTCATAACTATTTACATTGTAGATTCTCACTGAAGGCATCAAAACTATGAATGAACACAAGTGGAGTTATGTACTTAACAAAAAAAGGTGAAATAACTGAAAACATGTTTTATATTCTAGTTTCTTCAAAATAGCCACCCTTTGCTCTGATTACTGCTTTGCACACTCTTGGCATTCTCTCCATGAGCTTCAAGAGGTAGTCACCTGAAATGGTTTTCCAACAGTCTTGAAGGAGTTCCCAGAGGTGTTTAGCACTTGTTGGCCCCTTTGCCTTCACTCTGCAGTCCAGCTCACCCCAAACCATCTCGATTGGGTTCAGGTCCGGTGACTGTGGAGGCCAGGTCATCTGCCGCAGCACTCCATCACTCTCCTTCTTGGTAAAATAGCCCTTACACAACCTGGAGGTGTGTTTGGGGTCATTGTCCTGTTCAAAAATAAATGACCGTCCAACTAAACGCAAACCGGATGGGATGGCATGTCGCTGCAGGATGCTGTGGTAGCCATGCTGGTTCAGTGTGCCTTTAATTTTGAATAAATCCCCAACAGTGTCACCAGCAAAACACCCCCACACCATCACACCTCCTCCTCCATGCTTCACAGTGGGAACCAGGCATGTGGAATCCATCCGTTCACCTTTTCTGCGTCTCACAAAGACACGGCGGTTGGAACCAAAGATCTCAAATTTGGACTCATCAGACCAAAGCACAGATTTCCACTGGTCTAATGTCCATTCCTTGTGTTTCTTGGCCCAAACAAATCTCTTCTGCTTGTTGCCTCTCCTTAGCAGTGGTTTCCTAGCAGCTATTTGACCATGAAGGCCTGATTCGCACAGTCTCCTCTTAACAGTTGTTCTAGAGATGGGTCTGCTGCTAGAACTCTGTGTGGCATTCATCTGGTCTCTGATCTGAGCTGCTGTTAACTTGCCATTTCTGAGGCTGGTGACTCGGATGAACTTATCCTCAGAAGCAGAGGTGACTCTTGGTCTTCCTTTCCTGGGTCGGTCCTCATGTGTGCCAGTTTCGTTGTAGCGCTTGATGGTTTTTGCGACTCCACTTGGGGACACATTTAAAGTTTTTGCAATTTTCCAGACTGACTGACCTTCATTTCTTAAAGTAATGATGGCCACTCGTTTTTCTTTAGTTAGCTGATTGGTTCTTGCCATAATATGAATTTTAACAGTTGTCCAATAGGGCTGTCGGCTGTGTATTAACCTGACTTCTGCACAACACAACTGATGGTCCCAACCCCATTGATAAAGCAAGAAATTCCACTAATTAACCCTGATAAGGCACACCTGTGAAGTGGAAACCATTTCAGGTGACTACCTCTTGAAGCTCATGGAGAGAATGCCAAGAGTGTGCAAAGCAGTAATCAGAGCAAAGGGTGGCTATTTTGAAGAAACTAGAATATAAAACATGTTTTCAGTTATTTCACCTTTTTTTGTTAAGTACATAACTCCACGTGTTCATTCATAGTTTTGATGCCTTCAGTGAGAATCTACAATGTAAATAGTCATGAAAATAAAGAAAACGCATTGAATGAGAAGGTGTGTCCAAACTTTTGGCCTGTACTGTAACATGACATATTTACTGTAAATAACACACAATGTCATGTGATCATAACAGTAAATAATTCCCAGCACACAGTAAACGATGCATTATTGGCTAACTGTCCATGTTTCAGTGACCATATTCTGATCAGCTGAAAGCATCTGATGCTGTTTGCATGAACTGTTTCCCCTGTATGACTGGGTTAATGTGTGGTTGAGGCTTAGTGCAGAAACATACAGATAAAACCTCAAGCATTCAAGCAGACCGTGTGTGTGTGTGCATGTGTGTGCGTGGAGACTTACTTGTTGCTGAGGTCAGAGTTGCCGTTCTTCTTCAGGTATTCCAGGACATCAGTCTCACTGAGAGGAATGAAACTGCCATACTTCATGTAGAAACTCTCCAAAAACTCTGAAAGAGAGGACGTCATTGTCACTGAATCTTATGATCTGTTAGCTAAATATTATAGACAAGTTCTTGTTTGGAGGATAAGCATTTTGGTTTTCTCTGGCATTAAAAGCCAAACTCATAATATTGATTCTGAGTCCATTGCTGCTCATGTGTTCAGGCCTGTGAGCTAAATAATTGCTTGTTTGTGTCAAAGCTGCAGGCCTGTTTATTACTTGTAAACATTAGTGATGCCTTTAAGATGTTGCTCCTGGACAAAAACACAAACATTTATTTTAAGAGAACAGAAAAATTCTATCCCTATTTCTGATTGCTGAATATCTTATGTGAGCCAGGGTTGAGCTTAAATCAGGTCTCTCCTGAGAGCGAAAATATTTCTTGGACTTCTGGACACCAGCTAAGAAACTGTCTCGACAAAAAATTATCATGGAAGAGGCCACATTTTATGAATGTCATATGATAGAAAAAGTGCTACCCTCGGCACTTTCTTCTTTCAGTTTGTGCGTAAAAAGATAAATGATTTACCATGCCTCATATATTAACTGAGAACACATCTTACCGTGGATCATTTCTGTAAGCTGCTCCAGGTTTTCTGAGTCCTGCTTTTCCCCATCCATCTCTTGTCCGTTTGTTTTTTCAGACTGTTCTTTGCCCCTCGCTTCTTCCATCCCCTCCCAGGTTCCAGGCTGACAGTACAGCCTGTGGTCTCTTAATGCCCAGCTGTGCTGCACGCTGTTCACTGTGATGGGGCCCTGGAATGGAGGAGCAACCAAATGAGATGTTTCCACCTCCATAAGTGTGGAGCTGTGGTCAGCATTTGTTGGTGCGGTTACATTTCCGTTGGAAAGAGTTACTGGCACAGACACTGAGTCGGTTCGGTCAGGAGTTTTGTCCACCTGCATCTCAGAGTCCAGATCGTGGGGAGATCCTGACCTCGAGGGAGGACCTGACAGCCCCCTGATAGAAATTAGTCCATTTTTCATTTCACTCATAATTATGTCACCATCCTTCGCCTCATCTGCAGGTTCGCTGTCACTCAGGTTTACAGTGTCTCCATTTCCAAATGTTGATTTAACTGAGCTGGGGTCAGTCCACTCTCCATGGTCCATCTTTGCATCTTTGTTTTGCCCCTGCTTCTGCACAAACACTAATGGAGCTGGCGCATCGATTTTAGAACTGATGACAACACCACCTAAACCTCCCCTCTTTATTCCACCCTCTATTTTAAATTTTGACGCAGGCGTAGCTCCTATAATTCCCCTCCCTCCACTACCTCCTCTCCCTCTTAATAGTAGTGCTCCCCTGCCTGCCATTCCGGACAATATCATCTCCACATTCCTGCAATCACCACCGCCTTTCCCCCCTGTCCCTTCCAACATGTCCTCCTTTTTCTGCACATCCTTTCTCTCTGGAGCAACATAGTTCCTTATTGGTCCATCCTGCAGGGAGTCTCTGACAGAGGGAGCAACAGACGTTTGTGACAGAGTATCAGCCACCACTACAGTCTTTTGCACCTTTTCATGTCCGTCATCTTCATCCTCTGCTTCCTCTACCTTCTCCTTGGTCAAATCAAAGCACCTGACACGTGTCAGCTGGCCATCCACTTTCCTTTTTGGGGTGTCCCCGAGGTCCCTAATGGCCCCCCTCCCTCTCGCCCTTGCCCTCCCTCTCCCCCTTCCTCTGCCTGAGGTTCTGACATCATGTCCTGTACTGTTGGGACCACAGCAGTCACAGGCTTTGGGTGTCCTCTTCCTACCTGAAGTACGGCCATTGACAGGGCCCTGAACAGCGGCAGGTGTGTGTGTAGAGGGCCAGGCTGATGCTGGGGTTGAGTCAGGAGTAAGTGCTTTTCCTGTGGTTACAAGGGTGGGCTCAGGATCAGCAGGAGTTGGAGTAGAGGGCTGGGTCAAGTCTGAGTTGGAAGTAATGTCTTTGGTGAGGAGTTTGGCAGGGTTCTGGGTTAGGTCCTGATCTGTATTATCTCCAGTGGGAGGCACTAGAGGTGGGGCTGCTTGCAGAGGAGGTGCTGTAGCAGTAACAGTTAGATGAGGGGATGCTGATGGTGTTGTTGTCATTGGGGATGCAGAGCCGCTGTGAACCATGACGTCCTCCTTTGGCTCTTCAACCCCATCCCCAACACCCCCTCTCCACACTCCTGTACCCTCCTTCCCCGTTTGGTCCTGAATTTTACGTGTTGTGTTTTAATTTTTGCTTCCTTGGTCTTTACTCTGATGCTTCCTTTCAGGTATTCTTCTGTGAGGTTCTGTTGCTGTGCAGAGAAGAAGTCGTTCTCAAGCCTTTCCCACCATAGAGGTAAGTGACTAGACAGTAGACTAGAACATGACACTTCTTGAGTTTTCCTCAGTGATGGGTAGACCCTGTATGGAATAGTAACACCACCATGATCTCCTAAATCTGGCAAGAAAAGATGGAAACAGAGAGAGGACAAGAGCCAGTGAAAGAAATGTTAGCAAACTCTTCTCAATATACACTGATCAGCCACAACATTGAAACTGGTTATAGGTGAAATTACATTTATCATCTTGTTACAATGCAATGGATTCATATGGACGCCACCCACCGAAACACTACTGCAGACCAAGTACACCGCCCCGTGGCAACAGCACTCCCCGATGGCAGTGGCCCCCCAGCAGAACATTGCTCCACAACACATCACAAATACTGCTCAGGAATTGCCCGAGGAATGTGACAGAGAGCTCAAAGCGTTGACCTAGCCTCAAAATCTCCCAGATCCCATCCACAGTGGGGCCTCCTTAGATCAGACTAGGATCTGACCTGTCTAGGCATGGACACAGGACCTCTGGGGTGTTATGTGGTGTCTGGCCCTAGGGGCATTGGGAGTGGATCCATTGTGACATGTCAGTTGTGGGGTGGGGTACCCGCACCTCCCATGGACACTCGATCAGATGGGGATCTGGGGAATTTAGAGGATGTCTTGAGCTCTTTGTGACATTCCTCGGGCCATTCCTGAACACATTTCGCAGCGTGTCATGATGTATTGTCCTGCTGGGGAGTGCCATTGCCATGAGAGAGGAGGGTACCTGGTCTGCAACGGTGTATAGGTGGGGGGAGCATGTCAAGTGGCACCCACATGAATGCCAGGGCCGAAGGTTTCCCAGTAGAACATCAATGCAACTGCAGTGATGTTATTTTCAGATAACAGGTGGATAGCTGTTCAGAAACAGTACGTGATTAACTTGTTTTGGCATGCAACTTACTCATTTTGCATTAACATATGCCGACTAAACAATATTAACTACTTAAGTGACATTTTAAGACACTCTTCTGTTTAAAGTAACGTTACTGACACTTTCCACGGAGGTGTTATTTTGATTAGAAGCTAAAATCATAGTTAGCTAACGTTAGCAGCATAGCAGCGACATTTACCTACTCTACAGCTGCAAATATTCAGTGCCCGCAGATACATCGGTCACTGGCAGCTTTGCTAGCCATCAGCATCACTGCCAATGTCTGCTAGAATTCACAGAAACAAGTAAGATATCAAGTGAAATTAAAGCTACGTTAGCTCAGGTAATGTAACACTGGGCACCGGACATGCTCACACATTTAATAATATAACCTGCCATTAGATAATCTAAGTAAGTCAAATATGACATTGCTCAAAGTTTTGTATAAGTTAGTCATTCCCTGGAAGTAGCTAAGTTAGCTAGCTGCAGCCAAAACAGGGGAAAACACAAAGCAGCGACTACACACATTTCCTCCATTTTCAGTAGGAAGTTGGAGGCGTCTATAAACAAAAAAGGAGCTGCGAGTCAGTATTTGAAGTGATGTGGAGTATGAGGCTAAAGCATGACGAAAAGCGACAAAAACATCGTTATACACTACCTTGTCTACGAAATAACAAACAGAGTTTCTTCTCACCACGATTTGAAGAAACAACTGAAGCTATTGTCGCTCGTTGATGATGTCACGGCGTCGGGCTCAGCTTCGGCTGCGTCCGTATGTTCTACGTGAGGAATCATTGAAATGTAGACAAGGTTGTAACTTATCACACAAAACAAGATACTGCATCTTTTCTTCTTAAAAAATAATTTATGTTCTATTATTTGCTAACATGCAAGCAAGTGCGTTTCAGACATATTGTAAGTGAATGGGTTTTCTGGAAAGGTAATGCCCTCATGCCCCACTAGAGGGCGCGTGAGGCTTAACTTCAGCATACCACAGGAGTCAATGAAAGTGTCGTCACTCTGGTACTGTAGGGTCCTACTCTGGATCTGCGTACTGTTTTGGGTCATATTTCAAATGTAACAGTACATTGTACAGACAGATATGTATATTTAATTTCAAAACACTGAAAATGATCATTTTAATATCATGTGTGAAATAACAGTTTCAGACATAACAAAAAAGGTACAACAAAAACTAATGTAGACAACACTAACGTGTATGAGGGAAATTCAAACCTAGACCTGATACACCTTATTTGTTTTTATTAGGTATTATTTAAGAGGTCTTTATAGCCTTTTTATTAGTTGTTATCGTGGAAACACAATCAAAGAGATAATGTAGTTCAACACAAAGACGAATATTTGGTGTATTCTTAATGACTTGCCTTTTGTGATATTTCCCAAGAAGGCTTAATCTTAATATCATTGTTTTTGTAGATTATGAGCCTGTATATTACAATTTAGAAAAATGTCTTCTAATATTGGTGTCAATCTAGTGAAACTCATGAATCAAAGGAGAAATTTCAACCCAGAATTCGTGAAAGTAAGTACACAGATATAATAAATGACATTTTGGAGATGTAGCTTCTTTAAATTTCTGTACTGTATTACAGGGTTAGTATCTATGTAAAATCTTTGTTTGTAAAATCTTAAAATCTTTGTTTTACTTTTATTTGGATGAGTTTTTTTTAGGGTCTGAGCAAACTTTCTATGCTAAAATTTCCAGAAGTTATTTTCCATAAAATGCTGATTTTTGAAAGTAACATAAGTAATCTATGGTCAATATATGGTGATTATTACACATACAATCAGATGTGTCATTCCCACCAATTAAGAGTATGGGAATTTCTCCAAACAAAGGGCCATATTACAATGCACTTTTGATGAGAAACAGCTTTGGTGATGTACTTTTTATAACACTGTTAAATTCTATCCGAGAAATATTGATACCCTTATTCTGACAAAGTCTTCATATCTGAAGAAGGTACTACATCTAAGACAGAGATTAAATCCATATAGATCCATTGTTTTGTGTATCTGGACTTCAACTATCAGTCTATTCATAAAATAGGCACTGATGTTTCTAAAATTTGGATTTTAGAAGAGACAACATTAAGATGTACAGCAATAATTGTTGTTGTTGCCATAGCAAAGGGAGAAAATGGTGGATAAAGAGATGGAAAGCAAATCAAGCAAGCACTGGCAATTCTCATCTTTATGTTATCCCATTTATCTTAATTTCTACCCACCCGATCACTGACACGACACACACTGTATCTTGATCATCTTTAATTACAAAAAACTATGATAGGAAAACAATAAATAAAACTAATGGTCAAAAAAGTAAAGGAATTATGGTAAGTACAAAATTATCAACAGTATAATATCATGGAGGTTACATAGAGAGAATATTAACATGATTATCACTGGATGCCTGACACCAGTAGTTCCCAACCTTTTCAAAGTAACACAATGACTTTTATAAAACAAAGAAATCAACCACAGGAATAGTTACATTAACTAAAAATGTCACATATTATTGTTTAGTGAAGTGGGTGTACCATAATGCAAAATAATGCTGCACGAGGCCCAAAATGTATCAAACAAATTCTGACAGATTTGAGTAAAAAAAATTACCTTCTTTAAAACATATGAACAAAATATTAAAACATATTTGAGCTTAATTCAAGGCTTCAGCACATCAGACCTACCGGCTTCAAAGACAACGCAGCAGATTATGCATCGAAGTAAACACAGTCAGTCTGCTGCTATACATTTCTATTTGTACATAAGGTCAGTGCTATATCATTCTCTACTTGTATGATAAATACATTAGGCATAATAAGCCTCTTTACAAGTGTCTTCGGCTCCAGTGATTAGTGATTAGAAATGACCTAAGTAGTCCCATCTAAACACCAAACATGTACAGAAGCAGCCGTGCAAGGAGTCTCACTTTTCACATACAAGTCTTGCAATGCTGCGTCGCTGTGGCACTAATGCCGAGAGGAACCATTTTGATACGAAAATATAAAAAATATGATTCAAGGATACGCATTTTACTGCAAAGACTAACTGTATAAGTACGTGGTGCTTTTTAATTTGGCACCATGTACAGGTACAGTTTTTTCTCTCACGATTTATACAAAACAATATCGACTAAGGCCATAACCTTTGAATCAGCTGACAGATTGATTGATTAGATGAGTGATTAATGATTGTTTTCCTTTAGAGCGGGCTAACAACCTTCCTGATGTTTGAAAAGTGACTGAACTTAGGGGGTTGGGAGGGTCAGAGTAGGAAATACCATTCATATGAAATAATGATCTACATTACACAGAGGAACTTTGTTTATTTTACAGCATGTTTTCTGCACTTGACCATGTTGCACTGTGGAAGACAGTGGAAGAGTGGATGTTGGTAAAGATGACCGTTGTTGCAGCAGATGGTGACAACTGTAGGATTTGGGCCTGGAAGAGATGAATGGTAGGATTAAGTCGACAAACGATGACAAGTAGCCTTTCACAGAAACACAGTGACAGACAATGTACACTGTTTTATTATGTAAATGGATAAAAAGGCGACTATTAGTTTTTAACAGAGCTACACATGACAGCAGTGTGTTACTGAGAAGGCACCATTACCTATCAAAGTGTGGTGTTGATAGCTGGAGTATGTATGGTCTTGGAGACAGCTGTGCCATTGCTGCCCCCTGCTGTCAGCACCTGGAGCTGCAGCTGGTAAACACTGTCAGCCTGAAGACTGGGGACTGACACTGACCGCTGAGACTGTGGAAGGTGAAGCAGGATAAGTTCACAGACACACACATACCACTATACTTGCTTGATGAAAACAAAAATATAGAATATCACCAGACTAATCCCTTGTTGTAAAATATGTAAATGATGTGTCATGAAGTGCTATCAGCTTTTATGAATTAACTTTTAATGATAAGCTTCTGTTTTAATTATTTCACTGCTGACACTGCCTCGTTAAAGTGTAAATTAAAGGGAAAGAAAAAGGGAACACGATATAAAAAGAACTGAGTCACCATCCCCACTGAAAACACACACACACACACACACACACTCACACCCACACACACACACAAAGCCCTCTCAAATTTCGGAGGCATTTTTCTCCACAAACACCCTCACTCTTGACCTCTCTTTGTGTCTCACCGGTGCGATTGTCTGCGTCTGGGAGATAAGTGTGTCTTCCTGCCCCTCTGTTGCCGTGGTAACCCCTGACTGCAGCGTCCAGGTGAACTGGAACCCCTCCACAGCAGCCGGGTCCAGTGCATGCTGGGACATCCTCCAGCGAATCGTTGTGAGCAGGGTGCCGTTGACTTGTTGAAAGTCTGCGGTCAGTCGTTCTGGACGCAGTACCACCTTTCTGCCTGACAGGAGGCGCTCTGACACAAACAAAACACACAAAACATTTTCTACACTTGTGACAAAACACTTAAGTCTTCAACAATTGACCAGAGTTTGATTGGAGTCTGATCATATTGGCAGTTATCTGAAGTGTATTTAACTTGCTAACTGTGTGCATATAAAAAGGTTGTTTGGTTAGATTACTGGAGTCTTCAGTGTATGTGCAAGTGTCCTAGTGTTTGTAGTATCTTTTTGGGGTTAATGTTCCCAAAAGAAAACAAGAAAACAACCCACTTTCCAGAGCATCTTTTATGTAGGCATTTCACAGGATTAATAAGAATAAATTGAATTCTGCATTTACACGTGTGTGTGTGTGTGTGTGTGTGTGTGTAGGTGTGTCTTTCGTTACTCTTACCCTCAGTGTTGCAGGACAAAGCTTTGCCTCCTCTGACCCTTATGGCAGAACAAGCCGGAGTCGTAACCCAGGCAACAGCCTCTGACCCTGGGTCAGCCTTCATCGCCACAGCGACCTGGTACTTACAGGCAAACAGCAGACCTGTGATGGTGTGATGGGTGCCCTGGAGAAAGAGAATTAAGTCAAATTATGTTTAAAAAGAATGTTTAAACTGTGCACAGCTGGTCGTTAAAAACTGACATATTATCAGGTTCCTTAAAATATACATATTACCTCTATTTTTGTTTGGGAACCTGTCTCATATAAGCAGCGTGTTAGCTCCATGTTAAAATAAACAGCACAGTTTGAAGTGGTGCTTGGCAGCTTTGCAGGCTGGCAGCTTCAAATGATGAGGAATGGAATAACTGTTTAAAAAAAGGCTGAACTTCAATGAAGAGAAATCATGCTCTATGACCTCAGCAAATTGCACACAGCACTTTGATATTTATCAGCCCACTGAGTCTGTGATCATTTTAGACGAGAGGTTAACACCGGGTCACCAGTGGGTGAAGATCTAATGTTGGTGGTGAGTCCAGTTTCCTTCAGATGAAGTGCTATGGGCAGATATCAAGGGCGCTGTATTCATTCAATACCAGTTTATCTTTTAAAATTAAAATTACTGAGATGATTCTGCAAATCACTTTCCCCTAGATCACTCTCTTCCTTTATTTCATTATTTTATATTTAAATACAGGATGTTTTAGCCAAGGGTTTGACAGAGTTATGGTAAAAGTGATGTCAGGCAGAGACGGAGCAAGATGATGGCAGAGAGACAAAAAGTTGCACACTGACAGAAGATGGGAGAATTCCACACTGATCTGAGTAATGGTGATGAAATCTGATCTCTGATACACACAAAAAGATACACCGACAATGCCTACATAGAAACAAGACACCAATACACAACTTCACAAACACAGGGTAGTTATACCTGCACAGTTGCTGTTCTCTCTGTGCCTGTAACATTGGTACTGCAGGTATGTGGGTGCCACCGCAAAATGTAGGGACCAGGGTGTCTCTGCCTGCCTGTTAAACAAAAGAGAGACAGACACTACATAAGTGGGCATGTGTTTCTGTTTATCTTGTGTTTGTTCTCGTGAATTAGACTGATGCCATGATGCACACTGATAAATTTTCTTCTTTTTTCTATATTTCTGTTTTACATTCTCTCCCCTTTCCATCTTCTGGTAAAGTTTAACATTTCCTTATTTTTTTATTGACGATCAGAGAGGTTTGTCTGAGTTCTCTCTCTCTCTGAAGGTCATTATTTTAATGCAAATGCTAATGGATCTCAAGCATCAGTATATACAGTATATTGACATTTAGTACAATGGTCATTGAAAATTATGGATTCATTTTTAGTAACCAGACAGTATAAGTGGACACATGATGCAGACGTTTGACTGCAGTTCTGAATGCAACGATAATCCAACAATTATCCCCAGCTAAACAACTTGGAGTGAGGGTTATTTGTGTGTAGTAGGATAAGTAGCTCCCTAGTGACAACCATGTAATTTATTGAGATATGTGTTGATATTTTTGTGAGTCTAAATGACCAAACTGTTACTGGAGGAAAGAGAGGACTTTCAAGATAACGTTAACCACACTGAAATTGTTTTGCATCGTTTTTTTTGTTTTGCACAGTCTTTTCTTTTTTACTATTGAGTGTTTGAGTGTTTCAAAATCATCTCACCATGATGAGGCCACTTCCAAAACACCTTGACCTGCAGCTGGTCGTTATGGTAATGAGGAGCGGCGACCTCCAGGCGCAGGTTGCCAGGGATAACGGGGTTAAGGGGGGATTCAGGCTGAGGCAGAGAGGAGGAGAGGGGGAGGTCAGGGGAGGAAGGAGAGGAGGATGAGAGGGAAGGAGAGGAGGGAAGAGATGATGATGATGAGGAGGAGGAGGGGAGCTCATTGGAGAAGTCTTCGCCTTTGGTGGAGGAGAGGAGAAATAATAAGTGTTACGATCTCAAATGTTGGCTGATTTGATAGCATGTCTTTCCAGTGAAAACAAACAGGGCAGTAAAAAGGTAAAAATACTTTGACAATCAGCCTCATAAATAACGAGCAGTTCTCACATATTTTCACAATAAAATGACCTTTTACGAGGTGAGAAAAACAAACTTTGGTTGCAGGAGTGATATTCACATCTGTGAAATAAAGATGCAGTTTCTTAACCACTCTACAGTAAGCATTATTTATATAGAAGCTGTGCTGAATATCCATAACTGGCAACATCCCAAAAACACATCATATGAACGACAGGATGTATGAAGCCTGTTATACAGCATATGGAATTTATATTTTGTGCCAGGAATATCATAAACCGGCAATGAGAGTGCAGCTGGTAGCTAGCTTTCCCGTTAATTTCTTTCACTCAGAAACACTAATTGGCTTTATCTGGCCTAACTGACCCTCATTAGCATTGAGGGAAACCAGGCCAATACACTGTCAAATATTAATACAGATAAATTATTAATGGCAATATGTTCCATATGAAATTGTTAGTATATGGTTTGATAATTGAGCTGCAGCTGGCTATAATCCTCTGCTGGGCTGACCGACAGGTCACCTATAAATACCTCTGTTGCCTGGACGACCATTAACGTTACCACTTTCCACTGTATGTGAATGTTTAAACAGTGCAGCTGTAGGGAGACTAAATATGCTGACAGGAGGCAAATGCAGCAGCTCTGCACAAACAGCTAAAATCATTAACTCAATAATGTATGGCCCTGTTAACAAACGGGTGCTGTGGACTCTAGTGGCATGACAAGTTCACGAAATGTTCAAACTTGAGTCTCTATTTGGGGTATTGTTGCTAAGGGAGTTCTTAGGTGGCTTTATTGTTGAATCACAGCAACACAAACAGTAAAGCTACAGTTTAAACTACTTGGGCAAGAAACCTCCGTCTACTGGGCAACTCTTAGCTTTATTTATAGCCTCGTACTGTTTATTCTTCCAAGACAAAACTGTAAAAAATCCTACTGGAATTTTGGTGCCTTCCTAAAAGTTACACATTTCTAAGTGACTTTAAACCTGGCTCTAATTATTGATTCAAAGACAGGATGCTCATCCAAACTGCTGAGAGAGGCAATAGTAAAAACACTGGGTTCAGGGTGTGTAATATCAAGCTGCAAATTCTTAATCAAAAGTAATTCATGCTTTAAGATAAACTATGCAGGATATTTCTAAATGAAAAAATCACTCTCAATCATCACTTATGACCCACTAGAAGTGTGTGGTGTTGTATTTTTCTGCAGAGATTCTGCCCTCTGCCTGTATTTTCTTATTTTCTTCTTATTTTTTCTGTTAGGATACAGTGGTAAACATATACACTAAGGAATATGCTTTGTTTGTTTACCTCCATAAGTTACTGTGGTGAAGACAATTTGGGCTCTGGGACTTTTCAGCCTCTTCTGACCCCAGTAGGCAACCGTCTGGACAGACAGGAAGTAGGAAGTAGCAGGCAGCAGACCCTGCAGCCACAGCTCACACTGCGCCTATTACACCATTAAAGAAAGGGAACATGGAAACAGAAGTGTTTTTTAGCCTTTGGGAATGCTGCTGACTCTTGGCTACTTTCACTTGAAAGATAAATATCTCAGATGAACTTGCATCTTTAAATTCAAACACGAACTCAGGATTGCCACCATACTCAGCACAGTTACTGCTAACATCTTCATCAGCCTTACTGTCATCATAATCTTCACTCTGAGTGCTGCATGTGCCCCGCTTTGTGACTGACAGTCCAGAAATGTTCTGCATTAGCCTGCTGTTTGACTGACAGCTCATTAACAGGCTCTTAGTCAATCAAGTCTGTCTGTCTGCATGGATCTGAGCTAGTCACAACAAAGAGATGCTTGGATGATAACAAGTGTGTGTGTGTGTGTGTGCATGTGTGTGTGTGTGTGGCTCTGTATGTGCATACACTTAAGACAAAATGAGACAAAAGCAAGTTAAAAGCAGTTTCTTGGTGACCTGCAGACAAAATGGGGTTGAAGTATTTCCATTACACTTGAGATAGACAAAACATATGGCCTGTACAGCTGTAGGTGTGTGCGCCTGTGTCTGTGCGTCTGTGTCTCTGTGTATGTGTATTTGTGAAACAGACTGAGCGAGGAAAGCCTGGATTTCTATTTTGGTGCATAATGTCAGTGAACATTATATGTAAGAGGCTGATGTATATTTAAAAAGCACTGAATCAGCAGAGGTTTTCCATGTTTGAATACTTCCTCCAATTTCCCCTTTTTACTTTAGGTTTAATGCTAAATCCCTCCAGTCCTGCATAAATTCCTGACTGACAGGATTTATGTTTTATCCACATCTAGGGAATGTATCATCATGCGCTAATGGAGAGCAATAAAATATAAATGCTTTCCGTGATATGAAAACTACTTTACACCATTCCATAGAAACACCACAGACATGTTGTTCTCGAATCGGCCTACCTGTTGTGATGCTGCTGTCTCTGTGTGTGTCTAGATGCAGCTGCAAATAGGAAACACTAGTTAGGGGGCCTCATTTAAATTCCAGGCCTCCCAGCCAAGCAGAACAGAGGACCAGACTAGAGATAAATGGCTCCACCAGGCTCAGTCTGGGATCGCCATCACTACTTAGGATAGCTAGATCCATATGAGTGCACTTGCATTAAAAAAACATCCAAACTCTGATGTTTATGTTTTTAATTATTTTGTCTCTTCTCTTAAAGTGAGCACTCACATTAGAGATGAACATTAAAGTGGGTCTGAAGCTGAAGGATCCTGTGCAAAGAGTTCTCTTCACTAATGAAGGAAAAAAGGGAATGTTCAGTCAGTATACAGGCAATCATAAGTGTTGCGTCAAAGCTGTAATATCTATGTTGTCTACTGTGATTATGGGTACTTTGGCGCTGCTGACTGGCCTCAGTTGCATCGTGAACATGTTACATCATCATCACACCTATAATCATAATAGTAAAATCCACCCTTTTGACTGTTATTGCTGCATTAAATATAATTTCAAAAGAAAGCCTGTTGTATTTCTTAAGAAGTTAGAAGTTAATCTTTGAACTGAGAAAGGTGACAGTAATGATTCACTTCATTACTCTGTAAAGTAACTTTACATCCCAGCATTCTCTTTGTAAAACGCTTGTTATGAGGATTTATATGTTGTGCTGAAAGCTACAGTAATGAATGAATGTCATATAATGCACTTTACTTCTATGATAACTGAACAATCACTCACTAATGCCCCTCGTGCTGTAATGACTGGCATGTTGTAGGTACATTCCCAGATGCTTTGACGTGCGTTAAACCTGTTATCCAAATGCAGGACAGCCACTTCTCCTTATTGTCAGTCGATCTACATGGCCAAGTTGTCATGTTATTTCACCGCTGTGAAGCCAGACTTGCATGTTGTCGTAGCACTCTAACAAAGTTATGTCCCGTGAAGATAATGGTACGTCTGTCTGAGGACAATATTGCATTTTCAGATCCACAGGCACATATGCACAAAATGTCTGCAGACGTAAAGGGAAAAGTGTGCCAAGTAAGTTGAAACCATGTCTTAAAGTAGAGCACATGTCAAAATTATTTCCTTACATATGTGAGCATGCAACATCTTAAAAACACATGTATACAACCTAAATTATCTTTAAAAAGTTAAATAAACATTGGTGGCTTGTAAGTTTCAAGTCTGCAAATTCAACAATTATGCACCTAATTTCTGCTGATAATATACATCAACGTGCTTAATTGAGATGACTGACTAGTTCTACTATGTCTCCATCTAATTCCCACTTGTAGGCTTTTTTTTCACTGAATGCAGGTGGCCCAGCAGGATATTCTTTAATGCTAGGCAATCATGTAATGTCTAATATTAAAGAGTTTTAAACTTGAGTAACATCTGTTCCTGTGGTGCATGTCGTTTCCCGATTACCTGTGCAGTGCTGCACCTCAAACACACACAACATACAAGCAGCCATAATCTTATTGAATGAGTTATTCCAAGTTGCACCACCACTTGCATACAGAAGCTGTTTACAGAACCTGCTCTCTTTTCACTCTGCAGAGGCCTGTAAAATCACTGCACTAATCACAACCAGGATACAACAAGGAATGCGTATGCACGTGTGTGTGTGTGTGTGTGTGTGTGTGTGTGGGTGTGTGTGTGTGTGTGTGTGTGTGTGTGGGTGTGTGTGTGTGTGTATGCGTGTGTGTGTGTTTGGGGGGTAGTGGGGGCAAGGGTTTACAGACCCAGTAAAATCTCTCAGGTGCATGCGTGTATGTGTGCATGAAATGTCTGTTTCAAAAGTGGTGACATTTTGCCCGGTACTCACTTCCAAGGGCTGTTTCAGGGTTAAAACTTGGATTCAGGGTTAAAGAAATAGTCCAACTTTTTGCTCAACATTATTCACTTGTCAAAAATTAGACAAGAAGATCTCTTTTCTTGGCCCGAAGTCTTATTGTCACCATGAAGTTGCCAGGGTCCCAGTGGAGACAAAGTCACTACTCCTGGCCAAGAAATAGTCTAGCACATAACCCACCATAAAACGATGACTTAACTTTTTTTTTTTTTTTGCAGATTTAAAAATGACATATAACTAAAAAAATCTTTAGAGGTGCTGGTAGACAGATTTTTTTAACCTGAGGATGAAGCCAGGCACATTTCCACCTGATTTGAGTCTTTAAGATAAACTAGCTGTCTGCTGGCTGAGGCGAAAAAGCTTATTTCCCAGAATGTTGAACAGTTCCTTTAAGGTTAAATGGCTGGGGTAAGCAAATTTGTGGGTCCCTAGAAGTATAGAGGAATAAATACTTGTATATGTGTGTAAGCCTTTTGAAAATATACAAAGTCTGCATTAAAATTCAGTTTTGAATGGGATATTATGTACTATATAATGAATTATAATGTTGGGCGTGGATTGCACAGTAAAGCGAAAATAATAGTTTATCACTGTAGTCTTTAATTTAGTACAATTAAATAAAAAATATGTTTCCTTACCCCGTGAGTCACTCTGCTGTTGCTCTCCTTTTTGCCCTGCTCTGTTGTGCGTGAGTGTGCAGGACGTGTGTGCATGTTATTGTGCATTGTATGTGTGTGTGCGTGCAGCGTGTGTTTGTGTGCTGTGTGTGCATGTCGAGACATCCAGGTGACTCTGTAGTTGTGGATAGGCAGGTCTCCCTCTCTGGGGGGCTCCCAGCTTAATAAGATCGCCACTGTGAGCCCACTTCCCCTCGACCTGAGGGAAGACAGCAGCAAGTCAAACAACATCGCAGCGTGGATGTAAACTAATTTGTGGTAATAAAACAGAAAGAGAAGTACTTCCTCATGAGATAAGTCTAGATGTAAATGTTTTTGAGTAAGTTGCACTGAGTGGCAGTATAACAGATGGAATACTTGTTTGTTAACTGCTTTGATGTTGGGTTTCCTATCTGTCATTTATTTATGTATGTGCAGTCAGACATGTTGAAAAGAAGCTACAATTTAAGTCCCCATCTCTGTTATTAAATGTTTTATTGGAATACTGCTACTGATCCAAGACAGTCTGAACTTCATATGACTTTGTTTAGCAGTCCAGCACCCAAACAGAAAAGACAATTTATGATTGGAAGACAGATGAACTGTAATTTGCATGCAGCCACGCCATCAGACAGCCACTGACCATCCCCTTGACCACAATTTATGACTGATTGCCCACAACTACAGCCTGCAATCCTGAAAGGAAACATAGCAACTAACCCATCAAGGAAAACAGTAAAGATGGCAATCTACCTGATCATATCTTATCGATTGAGATAATACCTCTCTGTGAGCTGAGTCCCCGGTTGTGAACCCGTCCAGTCTAGAGTCTGGTTGATCACTCTGACATTCACTGGAGGTTCTGGAGGTGAGGGGTCTGCAGAGAGAGATGGTCAGAGAGAAATACTGTCAAGAGAGAAATGGCAGAAATGATCATTGAAATAATAGGTGAAGGTGCTTTTCTCAGCCCTGGGTAGTACCTGTACCTCAGAGGAAAACGCTGGGGCAAAAACAGTCTGAAAATCACTCACTGCTTCTTGTTAATAAAAGAAAGTGACTCTAATTCAGAGCTTCTTTTATGTAGTTTTTGGCAGGTAGACAGAGGGCATTGGTCAAAGAGACTGTAGTGAGTAAATCAACTACAACTACACCCTGGACACATCTCCTCCGACTGTTTCTAATGGCCCATTGTTGGTCATCTACTGCCCCAATGGCAAGGAGGCATTAGATCTATAGGGAGACTTAGTGTAGACTAATTGAGGTTCAGACTGTGATTCCCACTAAGCAGAGGCTGTTTACCAGCTTGACTGAGTTGTCTTATAACTTGATGTTTAATATGTTGCAGTAGAACAAAATAAAGAAGCCATCTTGGGGGGGAAAGGCTAATTTCCTCTTGGTCTCATTCAAGTCTACAAAGCCAATTAGATTAACAGCATCAAAGGTGAGCGATACTGGAGAAGCCTGAAGCCTCTCTTTTCAGTAGCTGCCACAACACAGACCAAAGGCGACCACCACTAGTCACTGTTTGCGTCCAAGATTAAATCCTGAGGTTGCTGCTCTTTCAACACTGGCTCTGTGTCTCATTAGAAACTCAAACCCCAATCCTGTATTTGATTAAAACTACAAAATGTATCGAAGTAGAACTACATCCCCCATGGCAGGCCTCCCACAGGCCCCGGGCTGTGCTTGGCTGACCCAGATGAAGAGATCAAAGTTAGGGCAGCTTATAAGGCCTGCAAGACCTGGCCTGTGTGTGTGCATGTGTGTGTGGTTTTTCTTTGGAATGAGCAGGGTGTCTCTCAGTGCCAGCAGTAATTTCTAGATCAGGACCAAAACACATCGAGGCCTTTTCACTGTGTGTCTCTTTCTCAATCAGCAGATTTAAGTCCATTGTTTCACAAGATGAAGACATCAAGATGAGTTTTCTGATCCAGACATTCCCTCGTAATTACCGCTGGCGGGTACTTCACAACTCTTATATCTGAATGAACAGGAAAGGGGATTTTCAGATTCAGATTCTCTCTCTGGTTTGCATCAGGTCATAGTGGAGGAACTCCAACCATCCTGACATCTGCCAGCTTCCTGAATTGTGACCTCTGACCTCCAGCCCCTGACTAATCAGACTAATGAAGTGGAAACACAAGACTCTGACTCCTTCGGATGTTTAAGTGTGTATCTTTAACCTCTAACCCTGGCCCTCAAAATACATACGCATTAGAGGGCGTGCGCGCACACACACACACACACACACACTTCTCAAAGTAATGATTCAATATTTTGGGATATAACCTTACTTGTTTTCTTACACAAAGTTATGTGAGAAGATCAGGACTACTCTCATTTCTAACTTGTACGTAAGCTAAAGCTAGCAAACCGAACATGTGTTTTGGTGTTTATATATATTTTGTATATTTACATGGATGAATCTAAAGCTATAAGACAGGCATTTCATAAACTGCTCACTTGGTTTATGTCAAAAGGATTTAAAATGTGCATCAACCTATGGATGTTGAATGTTCTGATAGTTGAGTAAATCTTTAGTGTTTCTTTTTTTTAAAGAGTCTTTGGCTTTTTTTTTACTATTAATCGATTGTACAGATAGATAGGAAAAGGGGGGAGGAAGGGGGGAATCGACATGCGGCAAATGGCTATGGTTTGGAATCATGCTGCATTCACGTGCTCCTGATGGTCCCATTTTTCAAGTTGGAAAGCCGTGCTTCTGACTTTGGTGTGTTCATGAGCTTTAAATGGTGATGTGGAATGAACACGGATGCTACAAGGATGATGTGCTTTGTATTATAAAGTGATTTTCTCCCAGACTTGTTGCTGCACCAGTACAACCAGTAAAACTACTAAAATACTGCTTTACCTGACTAATGCTGATAACTTTTCTAACTAATCTAGGCCACTTTATATGGATAGCAACTATCTGTTACAACCTAATATCATATTAAAAATTACATGTGAGCAAAAAATTGACATACAATATGTGAAACAATAAAAAGTTTATTACCATCAGCCAAATATTTATTTTAATACGTCACGTTTCTGCATATGTGACATCAACTCAGCAACTCGGGTACCAATTTCTTTGCCTTCTTTTCTTTCTTTTGAGTTGTTTTCAATGACTTGAGAGGGTGTTCATGTGAAAGTCATTTTTTCTGATTATTCCGACACCAGATGAATGCAGGGTCAACCCCCCCCCAATGCTACTAAGGGCTGATGTAAGCTCTACCATGTGAGCTACTGAGGCACCCCGGGTGGGTGGGTTTTTGTGTGTGATCATGAACACACCACCAACATAACTGTGGACTATCATGCAATTATGGGCTGCAAGCACTGTGACACTTAATGATTGTTGATATGTCTTGAGAAAGGTCTATGTGACAATGCAGAGGAGATAAGTGCGTGTGGTAATTGACTTTTTTTCTTTGGAATTGAGGCTAAAGTTAGCAACCAAATCTCAATAAGGCGTAGTGTTGAGAGCGTACATGTCACCGTAGTAATATTACTGCCATGAGTGATCTTCACAGGGAAATAAATTCCTCTCAGTATCATGACTTATCTTGTCATTGTGCCATCCGCTTACGTTGATAAATCCAATTCATGTTTGTTTCAAGAATGTACAGTTGAGTTGTATGCACTGTCCCTGGGTTGAAATTGCTTTCTGATTCTTTTCATGTTCTCTTTATGTTGTGGTTTGTTAAACATGACACTGCTTCCAAATGGACACATACGTTACATCCTTAATCCTTGATCTGTACAATTTAAAAAAATAAAATAAAAAACCCACACACATGTTGGCTTCCTTACAGCCCAGAGAAGTATAATTCCAGCTTTATATATGATGTATATTATATATAATATATGTAATGGACTGACATGAGAATCCTCTCATCTAACTCTGAGCAAGAAAGCAATAAGAGTATTTCCCAAATGTCATATTAACTATTCCTCGCTACACTGATGGGCCACGAGGAGCTGCCAGAGAAGTTTCAGTGTACCATGGCACAGGTTGTATATTCTCTAAACTTTATTACAAGAGGAATTCTACTCTTTGGTGTTTTGTTGAGGGCGGTGGAAAAGGCTATCTCAGACACCTCTTCATAATCCCTCATAAGTGCTCAACTGATAAAGAACCTTTTTCCAAAGCTTGATCCAATCTGAAGTCATTATTCACATACAAACACACTCTAGCCAATCCTGGCAGGGGATTCATATCACTAGCCAATTCTGGCGCAACACCAATATGACCTAAGTCTGCTAAGCATTAGAGCTAGGACCTCCTACAGTGTGTGTGTGTGTGTGTGTGTGTGTGTGTGTGTGTGTGTGTGTGTGTGTGTGTGTGTGTGTGTGAGAGAGAGACAGACTGTCTTACTCTAACTTTCACTCTGTCTCACTGACCCACAACAGGGATTTGGCGCTAAACCAAGTGAACGAGCATACGGTATATGTATGTGTGGATATGTGTACGTGCAGTTGTGTCTTTCCTGTCTATGTTTTATGGACTGCCTGATAGTTTTCCTGCTGCGTGTACCTTATCCATCAACTCTTGAGTGAAAGAGAGAAAGAACAGGGAATGAGAGGACGGGAAATGTTCCTGAGCTTTCTGACTTTTCCTCAGAGAGGTGCAATATCTCTCATAAAATGACACAAACGGAACGCCAGAATCTGGTCATTGTCTCATGACAGAGTATCAAGATTCAACAGATAGGTTATGGAATATGCGGAAGGAATCATCACTCTCTGTGGGACTCTCATAACAGCTCTCTAAAGGAAATGGGAGTGTCATAAAGAGTGGAGCAGGTGGACCAAAACGAAGGAGACTGCAAGCATCAAGAACTTTAGGAAATAACTTCTATACACGGTTTGTGCAGGCAAGACAGAACTGATCATACCAGAACAAAACCAAGGATCAAACAAAGACGAAACTAAAAAGCAGGACTTGCCTTGCAATCCAGTTTACCCAGAACTTAGAGGAAATGACCTCTGACACAAAATGGTGCAAAGGAACAGTCATTAAAGTCTGACTTTCAAGTCGGAAGCACGAATAAGATCCACCAAGTTCGAGCTCGTAAACATGGACATAAACAAACCTGATGTCACAGCAACTTGGCAGTGCACACAGTGAGCCATCAGCAGAATAACCTTTTCATCAGCTGTTACTTTACTACGTTTTTATGTAGTGCTCGTGCTGTAACAGCGCTGTAGCCACCATTTCCATTCTGGTGATTTGCACTTAATGGAAGTCTTTATTATGCTCGGCACCCCTACACAATTTTGAGTTGTTGTACATTCTTTTATGAGCAATGCAGAGCAAGACATTTAACTTCTTCTATACACTGTTTCTCTTTGCTAATTCTGCTGTGGTGATTGATGTGGAACTTCTGTAGATTATTGTGAAGTTCATAAAGCTGCCATAAAAACGTCAATTTTCTGCAGAAAACTGGGATGAATTTAGATTGGAAGTTGTGAATTCTAACTTCCATTTATTAACTTCTGACTTGCAATGGATTGAGACCTTAAATACAAACTAATCTGTCAAGGGGATGAAGTGGAGGTGGAGAGAAGGACAGAGAAGCTCAGGTGAGGAGAATCAGGTGATTAGGCAGCAGACAGGGAGTTGACTGGCTGGGAGAAACTCAGGGAGCAGGGAAGACTAATGAGGCTGATTCAGAGCAGGTGTGTGGATGGGCAAAGGATGGAAAGTCTGCACAGGAACTCAAAAACCCTAGAAAACACACTCTTTTTATTTAATAAACTAACAAACATTAAACTGCTCTTACATGAATACAAATGTAGGTATACAACACTATAACCTGCAACCTGTTTTATCTCTAACAACCAGGAAACCAAAAACCCAGACAACAAAATCATCTTAATCACTGAGCACAGAAATGTCTGAAGGCATTTGGACGTAGAGCCAGACTGTTACAAAAAGTATGTGTTTAGACTGTGTGTGTATTACCTTTACTGGAAATGTAGTGTTTGCTGGGTGTGGTGAAGCCTCTGCTGCCGTGGCTGTTGATGGCTGCTACTCTGAACTGGTACCAGCGCTGAGGTCTCAAGTCTGACAGAACCACATCTTCAGAAAGGGTCTAAAAATACAAACACATCACATATAGCAGTGACCAAGTGAGTGGCAGACAAAGATGATTTATGACAGATTTAAAGACTTAACATCACTTGTAAATCTTGTTTTCGCTAACCTCTAGAGGTTTAACATCTTACGCTGCTTCAGTGATGTACATGTGTACGTCAGGGCACTGGGACATCACACCTATCAGTGATGCTCGGTGTGGTCAGAGGTGAAACAGGCTTGAAAATTACAACCAGAGAGGGAAGCATAACACTTTGTTTTCAGCCCAGCGTAATAACCATTTTTTATTTTCAAAACAAATAGACACTTGTTCTTATAATATAATATCTTTGAGGCTAAGATACAGAAAATATTGTTACTTAGGTAACTAAGCAGACTACAGACATATAAATCTTGATAAAAAAAGTATTGTTTTTTCTTAGGATAGAGATCAATACTCCTCTCATGTCCTCTCATGTCTGTCCATATCGGTTCTGGTTACAGCCAGCAGCTAATTAACTTAGCATAAAGCCTGAAACAGCTAGCTTTGGAAGTGACTGTATCCTGCCAGGAAATAGTGTGGCACATAAGCGCATGTGTTGCTATTACATTTTCACAGATTATGGAAATGAGATATAATGTGTTAATTACAATTTAAGAGGTGCTGGGAGGTGGAGTTTGTCTCCTCTGGACAGAGCCATGCTTTCTGTTTCCCAGTGTTTCCAGTCTTTGTGCTAAGCCAACCAGCTGCTGAAGATAGCTTCATAAGTGGCCTACAGACATGAAAGTGTTATCAATCATCTCATCTAATGTCCAGATTTTAACGCTTCTGGAAGCTGCGGCCCTCGCCTTTGACTTAATTCTTTTTTGCTGTGGCCATGTCTGCTACCTAGCAATAAATATCTGCTGTTAGGCAACCGTTCGCCTGCTTGTTTACCATCTGTTTATGGAAACATATTAGTTCCGCCTGTGTAGCTCCTACTTGGTGCATGTCTAGAAACTGTCTGACAGTCCTGACATCGTGAGGTGAATGGAGAAATGCAAAGTCATCTTGCTTGATTGAGTAGGCTGACCACATATAGTATAATTTGAAAGACAAGCTGCGGGCCATTTAAATTTGGCCCCGGGGCCGGACTTTAGACATGCTTGTCCTACAAGTTTTTGATACTGAAATCACTGTTATTTTGATTTCCTTAATCGCAAATAGAAACAGTACACTTCATCTCAAGCCCACTTTGAACACACGTCATCTCTCACAAATCCATACTATATCTTCTTTCAAAAACATGACGGAGCCCTGTGTACTTTTAGACATATAAGTTTCACAAGTTAATGAGGTGGAAAGTCAGATGAACACAGTCGGATTGGAATTCCATCTAATAATAGTGAGATTAAACGATTTGCCAAAATTATGGTTAAAATTGCTAAAGATTCACATGTTTTGTCTCCCTGACAGTGCAAATGTAATCAACTGCTTAAAAGCTACTCATCCACACACACACACACACACACATACACACACACACAGACACGAGCTGCCATCTATTTAAGTCTATAATGAGCGTTCAGTCATTCAGAGTCAGCCGGTGGAACGACTGTGGCTGCCTGTGGTTCCTTTTTAAGCTCTGCTTATTTACCTAACCTCACACAGGCACACACACATGGATGTACGGTGCACACACACACTCACTCATACGCACACACAGACGTACGGTTTACCCTGGCAGAATGGGAGGCTGGCTGGGGCGGAGAGGTTTAGACAGCAAGGCAGCAGACTGATGAGGTGGAAACAGAGTCTAACATCCATCTCCATAGCTGAGAAGTTTCATCATTCGAGGCAAATTGAGAGTTATGAGTTAAAGATATGTTACAAACTCTGTGGTGTTGTTCCACTGTTAAAGGCAGAGGGAACCAATTTTCATAGCTTCAGTGACTATCAGGCAGAATCAGCTATGAGCCATGTCGTTACATGGGTGTTATAGCTATCAGCTTCCCTACATTAACGTCTCAGCTAATATCCCCCATTAATGTGGAGTGGGTGGTATTAACAGAATGATTCTGGATGTCTTCAAATGTGAGAAGATGTTTCAGACAGTAATCAAAAGAAATTAATTTAATGTCTTTATGATTTCAATACCTCAAACCTTCTAATCATTTAAAAGTGAGAAAGTTTAAAGTGAGAGCATGCTGGTTACTGTAGTTACCATGGCAATAGTAGTCCATGGAGAAGCATGGTCTTCACTGGGATGAATCCCGACGTTCCAACGGGACTGCAACATGTAAACGACTGGCTCCACAGTGACATTGAACTTTGACACCCACACCACCTTCACACGGCCCTCTGAATCCTCCACAAAGCTCATCTCTCTGCGAGGCTTCAGAGGAACCCCTGCAAGGAAATTATTATATTATAATTTAAAAGGCCAAAACAGGAATGTGATGTGATGTGGCTTAAAAGACATTTATATAACATCCAATCACACTAATTGATTATGAGATTAATGGCCTGTGTTTTAAAGTTTGCAGATCATGAGGAAATATCACAAGTTGGTAAAAATATATATATGCATCACAACAATATTTCCTTTGTTTTTAATTATTATGGCTCCTCAGTCTTCACCACACAGGCGTCTGAGGCAGTTTGTACTCCTGACTATCTCCAAGCAGAGCTGGAGCTTTTAACCACGGCGGGGCCGTCTGGAACTTCAGACGCAGTCAAGCAGGCAGTATTTAAGGATCTTTATTACATTAAATTACATTTCATTCATTTGGCAGACACTTTCAACCAAAGCAACTCACAATAAATACATTTAAACACCAAAGGAACAAGAGTTAGATGCTGTCAAATACTGGAGGAGCATCCCTACCAAGGAAACAACTAAAAGCATGTTCAGTGCTGTGAGTAACAAGCACAAGTGGCAAATGATAGCATTTCAGCTAACAGAGATCCTTATGAAAAGGCTGCTTATACAAGGATCAACATCAGCATTGTCATCAAAAACAGTCAACTAGAATTACCACCTCCACAAACAAGTCAGTTGCAGTTACAGTTTATATCCATGTCTGTAAAAAAATGGATGTTTCACACAAATTTCATGCTGTCTCCCTTCTGTTCCTGAGTGACACTGAGTAATGGACAGAAAAAGTGTTTTTGGAGAACATTATAATGTCACAGTGAAGCTTACCTTTGACCTTTTGGATATAAAATGTAATCTCGTCATCATTTTATCCTATTAGACGTGAAATTCTGTCATAGTTAGTGTACAAATCCTTGAGTTATGGTGAGTCACAGTGACTTTGACCGTTGTCCATTAACCACTAAATTGTTTTTTGACATTTGTGCCAAAATTGAAGAAATTCCCTCAAGGTGTTCTTGAGATATCATCTTGAGATTAGGATGGATGCAAGGTCATAGTGCCCTTGACCTGCGACCACTAAATTCAATCAGTTCATTCATGAGTCCAAGTGAACGTTTGTGCCAAATCGAAAGAAAGATAGATTGAAATATCGCGTTTGCAAGAAAAGGATGAATGGACAGATGGAAAACCTGAAAACATAACACCTTTGGCTTCGGCTATAACCAGCATAAAGGCATAAAAACAGTCCTTTTTTTCTAGTCAGTGTGCTGATAGTGTACCTCTGGGGAAGTTTTGGTCCCCTGATTTTGCTGTAGAGTGAGTACTCATAACTTTCATGCCACTCTTTGGTACAGACAGCTGCGGACATGATGCCGTGGCACAGAAGAGAAGACACTTTCCACCGTAAGGCTCCAAGATAACATTATTTTCTCTCTTTTGCTTGGAAGAGGTGAATTTACAGCTAACTACGACACAGTGTCTGGCTTTTGTTTGATATCTAGTGTCAGTAAAAAATGTTGCACAGTTCCGATCCATTGTTAGCGCTGTTAGCTTGTTTACTGTACTACATAAATGCTGCTGTCACACTGAACATCCCACTGAGCCCCGTTAAAACCAAGCTTCTAATATTTGCATTAAACAAGTAAATCTAATCAAATTGACATATTTCTGAGTCGGGAACAGCCCTAATAATAACAATGAATTCTTTAAACATGTCCTATTTATCGTTACAGCAGCCTCTTATAATAAAGCCCACAAAATGTTACAGACATGCTGCCTTTACCTTTATATAGATTGGCTGGGGCTTGGCAAGTGTGTCCACAGCCATTGGAGCAGCATTTTCTGGGGGACGGACAATGCTGGTCTGACGAGCAGCTCTCCACACAGGCTGCAGCGAATCCGGTGGCTCGCTGAGGCGGCGAGCAGTCCCCCTGACGAGATGACCTCAGAGAGGTCAGAAACTCCCTGCTAGTCACACACTCCGTCTGCTTCTGAGAGAGAGAACACGGGGGAGTTGTTATTATTACAGTTGACACACAGCGGAAATAATACGTGATGTATAAACACACATGTGAGGGCAGAAAAACACACAGCAGAGGTGAAGTGTTTCTTTTGGTTAACTCCTACTGAGTCTTTGAAGGCAGCCTGGTCTGATGTGTGTGTGTGTACATGGCTGCAGATCATCAAAATGTAAACACAACCTTTAGCTAATAGCTCTGAATTACCCAGTGTTCCCAACCAGCCAGCCAGTCAGCCATCCAGACAGTAACATGCTTCAGCTATTGTGATGAAAAACTAATCTGACGACCACAGCGACTGGCTTTACAAATAATCATTCAGGGCCACACACACACACACATAATGGCTGCACACTCTCACATGTATACATTCAAAAGCTCACAAACACGTTATTCATAACACACATAAGCTTGCATAAACACACACAGAAATTTCTCATTCACGGCCTCCACAGTCAGAAACCAGCTTCATGGTGCCAACAAAAGCAAGTCTCTGGTGCGGGAGTGACACTGCCACCAAGGGTGTTGTGACTTACACGTGCATACACACACACACACACACACACACACACACACACACACACTGGACTCTGTTTCTGGCTTACCTCACAGGACTTTGGAGAGAGTACCTTCCTGGTTTCCCACAGTTCTTTGCATGGCTGAAGGCACTGCACAAAACAAACAAACAGAAACAAAATATGAGGCTTTACACACAATAAGTAGAGGTTTTGAAATTTTCACTTGTTTCATCACACGTGACACAATGAGTAGAAAACAGAGTTTAAGCAATAGTTCAACATTTTTGGGAAATATGCCTATTTGCTTCTGGTTAAGAGATAACTAGATGGGAGGATCTCACGTCTGTCCGTTCAATATAAAGCCACAGCCGGAAGCCTTTCCTATCTGTCTTTGTCACTATCTAAATAAAGCAGAAAATGCCCCCCAACATAATCCTCCAAACAGGGATCTGACATTTTTACACTTTTGTTTGAATTAAACAAACAAGATATAAAGTGTTAATTAGTGAGCTTCATGCAACAGTTAGCCCGACCATGTACCATTGGACAAGATGTATTCCATGATTACTCATATTGAGTACGTCTCTGGGACTGTTAACAATGCATCTATCACTACACTTTACAAATGTTCCAAACTAGCCTAAATTAGCCTACATAAGTGATCAGTGATTAGAACAGCCTTTGCAAAGAAAAGATGAACATATTTCCACAAATAACATTAAATTATGAATAGTTATCGGAAGAGGATGAAAGGAAGAAAAGAAGCCTAGATACTTCACTGAAAACCTCCAGATGTGCTTATATGACACTGGCTGACATCACAATGACACTGTCTGATCAAGGCTTTAACTTACTGGAATCACACATGCCGACAAACATCTGCAAAGACACTCTTATTTCTCTCTTTGTACAACAAATGGAAACATACAGATAAATGTACATGAGACAAAGTAGCTGGCCTGTGTGTAGACCAGTGGTTCCCAACTGGTGTGGGTCGCAGGTCCATTCTGAATGGACCCCAAGTTATTCACAAATGTGTCAAGTTTGTTAAAAGCACACTTTATTTTTTGGGGCGTCGGTGGCTTAGTGTATAGAGCAGGCGCTCCATGTACAAGGCTGTTGCCGCAGCGGCCCAGGTTCGACTCCAGCCTGTGGCCCTTTGCTGCATGTCATTACCCCTCTCTCTCTCCACCCTTCACGATTAACTGTCCTATCTATAAAGGCAAAAATGCCCAAAAAAATAAAAAAAATTTTTTAAAAAAAGTACACTTTATTTTGAAGCACATTGAGTTTCCAGCACAGAGCATTTATCTTGAAGTGCCGTTTCCCACTGTAGAGTCAGTGACTAACAGACAGCTACTTGACAGAAAAAGCGAACTAACTTGACGACACAACCAAACCCAAGTATGACACTGAATGTATTAAACTGTGTGGACCTTGAACTAATGACTAATGATAAGGAGAAATCTGGACCCCATGGCTGGACCAGTTGGGAACCACTGGTGTAGACCTACACAAAGTAGCAAGCTAGTTGCTTGGCAACAGTCCAGTCCCAGTTCAGCTGCAGGTCTATTTATGCTGAGTTAAATAAATGATTAAAAAAAAAAACATAACCTGTTGTCATTCATTGCTGCCTTCTAATAAATGGTGCTTGTAGAACTGTTGTATAAAGCAATATCACACTCAACCAAATCACAGCCATGCTGAAATTCATTACATGAGCACTCCTGTTGCTTAACTAGAGGTGCTAGTAGAGAGATTTTATTACCTTCGGACAGTGTAAGGCTAGATCTTTAACCCTGCTTCCACTCTCTGTGCTAAGAGAAGCTGACCTGTAACTGTAGCCTCATATTAATGGTCACTCAAAGTGGTATCAAACTTCTAAACTGTCTCTACCACAAAAATAAGAGCATTTCCAAATATGTCAAACTGTTTCTTTAAATACCCGAGGGTTGAATAAATACAAGACAGAAAAAGTGTAAGAAGATGGATTAATGACAAAGTGTCAGAGCGTTTTCGCATTTGCGGAGCTTTCAGTGTTTAAGCAGGTAGGGAACACAGAGGAAACTCACACACACACTCCTAAAGCACATATGCACACACTCATCTGGTTTGCCACCTCAGTGAACTGGTGAATGATGGCTCTTACCAAATTAAAACCAGACAACATATAAAAACTGCGGTTTCACCCCCAACCTCCTCCTCCTCCCCCTCTCCTCTCGCACTCGTTCCGTCTGTCTCCCTCAGCCCCACACTGTGCCTGGCTTCAATCATTTCTCCCATTTATTCCATCTCACTGATTCCAGGGGAACAAACAGAATCAACAAAAAGCCATAAAAACTTCATTTTTGCACAAATAAATGGCTACTGTTGGATGAAAATGCCTTCTCCAAAACCCCAGCTGTTTTAAATAGGCTCATTTGCAGACTGATGATTATGAATACTTTAAGGATCATCATCACACTTGAGCACATAAACTTTCATTTTAATGTATCAAATGAAAAACAAACACTACATAGTAACTCGTCACTGGGTTCCATACAGCATTTGGAAACCAAAGCCAGGGAAACCACATGTACTGATTTCTAAACCTGTGGGGCATAAAATGGAGTCTCAGCGTGACGCATGATGCTGTTACATGTTGTACAGTCGGCTCATTTCATTCAAGTCATGGACGAGAAAGTTTGTGTTAGTTTAGAGTGATACTCCACCCTAGAGTCTCCCTATTGAGTATTAAACACTCTTGCTCTGTAGGCTTGAAATGCGTTAGTAAAAGGTTTGTAGTTTGCCTATCTATAGGTCTGTAGTCAGCCTGGAACACATTTATATATGTGAACAAGAGCTTCTATATTGTGTGTTATCACGACATAAAACAATAATAATAAGACAAAATAAGACAAGAAGCTTTTGTGATACTGTCTACTGTTTTTTTCTCTTTTCTTTCAGTGGTAGGCTGTCTTTGCTGGTGCTTTGTTGTAATTTGCTCCATACAGTAAAGCGATCCATAGTCCCACTCATGACTTGCTCCTTTTAGTTGTTATCATCCCTCACACTGGCTGCCAATCAGGGCTTTTGATGTGTCACACACTTAAATTCCTACACGTGAAGGGTGACAAATAGGTCCCCTGTGAAGGTTTTTTATGTTAAATTAAATGAAATTAAAAAAAAAATAGCCAGAATTTACCTCATTATTGGGAAAGGGGTGCGCACAACATACTGATACAGTCAATTAAAAATGAATTTTTAACTTTTTGTATAGGCCCAGTTAAATATTGCAATTGCAATAGGCTAATGTGTGGTTATCACAAAATCCTGCGGCACACGCACCATTTGAGACTGCCTCTGTCTTAAAGATGTTCTGATGACATTATCGAGTTCGTACACCATTTTACTGAGCTATGCTAAAATGATGACTATATTTAGGAGTCACATGCAAGTAACATCTAGAGCTGAAACGATTAGTCGATTAATTGACCAGTCAATTGATAGAAAATTATTTCAAAAACTATTTCCATTATTGCTGAATCATTTTGAATCATTTTTCAAGAAAAAATGCTTAACATTATCTGGTTCCAACCTGTCAAATGAGACTGTTTACTGGTTTTATTATGATAGTAACCTCAATATTTGCTGGTCGGGCAAAATAACATATTTTACGATGTCACCTTTAGTTTGTGGATATTGTGATGGGCATCCTTTACCATTTTCTGACATTTTAATTGATTTGAGAATAAAATCATTGGCAGGCTACACACACATTTTATCTTTTGGCACGAGCAGCACACCAGAAATGTCACACAGACAAAAAATGTAGTCAGGGTAAAGAAGCTGGGAAATGCTAGTCTGGGGAGTAAATGTGATAAAATTGCTGCTTTTCAGGAAAGACGAAGCACATCACTTTGTCAAGTTCGCCAGTGTGCGGTCTTGCATGGGAAACAATCACTAACATGTGTCCTTTTAGGGATCACAACCAGTCTAGGGTGGCCCTTATACTGCACGTTCTATCAGGTTTCTATGGACTTTCTCATATTTAATCCATTAAAACTGCTATAAATCCAAGCTGACCTCAATCTTTGTTCTACATGAAGCAAATTACAATCCTTTTACAGCCACCTTTGAAGTTTTTCTCTACCAAAGATTCATTCTGAGACTTTGAATTATTTCCCTTTTTTCTCCTCTGTAAGTTTATTATGCATTCCTCAAGGAGTCTGGGTATGAGGAGACACAGCATTGTAACCAGATCCTGGAGTGTGATGCGTTTCTTTAAGGAGCTCTCATGGGTCTCTTCACTCGACCATGTGCTGCTCAGGTTGTCAAAATCAACTTTAAAACACCTAACACATCCTCTCACACACACACACACACACAAACACCAACCAACCTACACATCGCCTTTTTTTCACATGCTCACCACTCCATGTTGCATTCAAACCCAGCCCACACTGTACTCCCCCTCTCCTCCTTTGCTGCCACTTTGATCAGTTACAGACATGTTTAATTTTTCATACCCGTCCCTGTTCCTCTCTCCACCTCCTGTTCCTTTCTATAATCCTCTCTTCTCTTTGTCTCCTGTCTTCACATTATCACCCCTCTCCTTATACTCCTTGACCTCTCATCTATGCACTGCTTGTCTCTACCTCCTAATTTTTGCTCTTTCTTTTCTAAGATATAATTCCCCACTGCCATTGGAGTATTAAACCTATAACGCCTTTCTTGTCTCAGTATACCTCTGACTATGTAGGTGTACACAGATGTTATCTATGTTTTGACAGGGTTTATGTTTTACATTTTTCTTCAACACATTTCACAAGGAAACGCTGTAATTTTCACTCCACATTTATGTAGTAGCAGTATTAGTTGAAAGTGGCTTAACTTTGACCCTCCAACATTTAAATATTGCTCACGTTAATGCATCAGTAATCTCCACAAATGGGTGTCTACATATATATGCAGAATCTGCAGTGATACAAGATTTTGGTTTTCCTTTTGGGAAGACAACTAGCAATTGTTTTGAATTGAGATATGTGAATTCGGCAACCTTGTTTATTTCTGTTGTCATTTTCAGCTTTCTGGACCCCAGGAAGACTAGTGACCACTTTGTGGAAGCTAATGGGGATCGGAATAAAGAATAAAGAATGAAGCTGTAAATG